TCCGGGGTCGGCCATGCGTCCAGTGTGGATTCATATTTGTCGCTATTGTTCCTCTTCCAAGTGAGTGTACAATGAAACAACTCCTGGAAAGTAAGGCTTTGTTGTGGGTGGAATCTGGATCAAAGGAACTTGTACTGCAGGACTCTAGCCACCACCCTGGTCATTTTGAAACATCAGAAACTCATTTATTTACTTATGGGATTTACAAATGTTCTGTGAATAAAGCATTGAATATGGGTCTTCATTTTTACAACTGTTATAAAAGCCGGGCGATCTTTAACAACACCCTCAAAGGGGTATGCTGTAGAAATTTCAAGCAGGTCATCTTACCATTAGAGCAAGGTGTTCCCTTGACCATAGAACTTCTAGGATGGAATTCTGAAATAGGTTTTTTTTGAATAGCCTTCGGGTTGTGTGTGGATTTTCCTCGTATTTTGCTGAATTGTGATTTGGGAGGATATCATATGAAGAATGCGCCATGCGCTCTGAGTAGTGCCAGATTTGGTGGCGGTGATTAACGGAGGGGCCCCATGTTAACCTGCACATCTTCTGGCGCTATCGCCAGATAGGGCATTCTATAGAACTAAGCCTAGGAGAGGAGAGGAACGACGGGGAAAATAGAACTGCTGATAAATCAGGAGTCTTCCTTCCCCCACTCAAAGTTTAGCCCCGTTTTTAACAAAGACATGTTTTATGCGGCTTTAAGTGCACTGTCACCACAATGCCCCAGTATCCTTCAATAGCGCCCATCTTTCAAAATTTATATACAGCATATATTTGGTTGGAAGCACTACTATTCTTGATTCCATAATATGCATGTATTTAGCCTTGGTAATAACACCAGCACTCATGGCACCCGATACAGCGGCTTTACCTACACCAAAATTTTCGACGACGAGGAAAAAGAGGTGTGTGATGACACGGGGTTTGGATTATTTCACGAATTTGCAAGAATTTTCCGCCTCTAGGTAGCGCCAATGAACGTTATCGAAATGGTGATCTACATCTTCAGTGTAATGTTCCTTCTTCTCACAATGCCGTTTTCACTGCTCTTCGCCATGAAGGTAAGAATCAAAAAAGATCTTGGAATCATTGAAGGCCTAATATAATAAATTATGAAGTAACACAATAAAAATAAATATTAACGAATAATGGCCTGAGCATAAGAAACAAATAAAAAGTCACAATAATAATAGTTAAAGGCGAAGTATCAGCTCTGGTAGAAGTAACTCCTCTTGGGATCGAGCTCTATGCGATCTTGCAGTGTCACCCATATGTTAGCGCTTTTATGGTACACTTTTAGTAAGACCAGTGATCACTGGAGTCCATAATGTAAACCGGGGCATTGGCAGCTCTTGTTGCACCCTCCCCGCCTTCAGGATTTTCTTTTTTATTCTATTTATTATATTTCAGACCTGTTTATTTATATTTTTTGTTTATTTTTATTTTTACCCTTGCGCACCCGAAAATGGGCTGAAAGCACTAGCCCTGCAGTATACTGAGCGGAGACTTTTCATTCGTCTCAACCCTTCTGAAAACTTGTGTGCTAAACTTTGGGGCGCGGCTCCAAGAAACCCTCGAGGACCGGTGCCAAACTTGCATTGTGCCGTTCATTGACACGCCCCTAGCACCGATCAGCACACTACAATCACACAGCGTTCCATGTACCCAACCTTTGCACGTGAGTCATTCATATTTGAATCAATTTTTGTGCCTTCACTTTTTCGTCATCAAAACATTCTTCTTAATCTTATCATCAGTCTTGGAGAGTAGTGAAGACAGCGGGCGTCACAACGATGCGCAAATATGGTTGGGTCAACTTAAGATTAATCCCGTCGAAGCACCAGGGGGGGGTACTACTGACTGTTCGGCGTAGCGGCTAACCGCGAATTTATTGCAGGGGCCAAGCAACGCTTTAACACATTGACGACAACGCGGGGGATATATATCCCGCGCATTGCAGGCCGTGTCGGACCGTGCGGGGGATATATCCCCCGCACCCATTAACACTAATTTTTTTCGCGCACCTAACCATCGGACTGAGACCCATTGGACAGCGTAAGACGAAGGAGACCAAGCGAGAGTAGAAGAAAGTTGGAATGGCAGAAAGCGGCAGAAACTGGCTGCTATCAGGGAGCATGCAACGGCACCTACGGTTCTTCTAGAAGTTTCTTGTAATTATTGAATGGAGGAGACCTTGACCTAGCTAAAAACATAGTGGTCCATAGAATGGTCACGTATGCTTCAATTTAGAGGAGGATTTCTGAACCATACGAAATCTTCAGCCTAATAAATTTTTCGTTTACTTTTTCTTCCTATGAATGTGAAGGTTTAAATAGTAGTAGAAGTAGATACGGTACCTTAGAGATGACAATATATGTGTTTTGATTAAAATAATCAACTTAAAATTGCCTTTGAAGTTCATTGCAGCTTGTTCTAAAGAATATCACTTTTTCATTGTTATTCCATGTCTTTCAATAGAAATTCCGCTACTGTACCTCCGAGTAGGTTGTGCTCATTACAATATATTGATCTGGCCTTGTATTGATCATTATTTATGTTTTATCACTCAAAATTTGCTTGAACAACCTGAGGCGGCGGCGCTCGCAAAAACGCCGTGGTCCCACGTGGCCAAAAGTGCCAAAACTCGCGTTGTCGTCAACGTGTTAAAGCAACTCATAGCAAATTTGAGCAAAATCAGTCCGTGAGCGATGCAAGATAATAGAACATATAGTAACATCAACTCCATCGTCCTTTCAAAGTTGTCTCCTGCTTTGGCCTTGTTGAAAACTATAGTGCCCTCGGATTTTATTTTTATTTTATTTTGATCATTGTTATTTATTTTATTTTACTTTTCGATTTTCATTTTGCGGCAACGAAAAATGCAAGTGAAATGGCACAGCAACCCACATTATTTGGAACGAAAATTCCAGTTCGTTACTCAACTTCGGAAAACGTGATTTGCTACGTTTGGGCGGGCTCAGAAAACTCGAGGACCGGGTGCCACGTTGATTGTGCCGTGCATTGACACCACCTACAAGATCAGCACTACAATCACAGCATTCAATGTACCACCTTTGCAAGTGAGTCATTATATTGAACTTGCATTGATCGATTTTTTGTGCCTTCCCTTTTTTCGCCAATCAAAATATTTCATTATTTTTAAAAGTATATGCACAAGCCGAAAGTAAAGATAGCGGGCGCCACAACGATGCGCATATGGTTCGGCCATCAAATCCCGCGTTATATCCCGTCAAACAGTCGAGCTCTATACACTTATTCCGTGTGGTGATGCAGCCAGTATTCGCGGCGAGCGGGAGGAGTGAACACGACTACGACTTTTCCCGACTTGATCCCTCAATTGATTTGCTATAAGATCCAGGAACGCTTTCAAATGCCAATACGATCTCGAATAGAAATCGAGCGAGTGGCGCGATGCAAGGGCTTATTGGGACTCTAGTGCTCATGTCCTTTATGATGTCTCATGCTTCATCTTGGCGGACTGTATTCATTTCGAATGCATTCTTTTTAACCTATCATTGAATAATGGTTAAGCCATCATACTTTAAGTTACTTCTTTTTGGGATGCGCCGATTGCTTTTATGAAAATAGCCGTGATCTGGAACCACCGGTTGAGCCTATACAATGACTTGCGGAATCGACCATCGCCAGCAGATTATATCCTCGACGAGCTTTACAATCTACCGACCTTCGTAGGAAAGGCGAGGCTGCTTGCAGCGGCTGCACTCCCATCCCTTGATCAATCATCAGTGTCGATTTTTAGGTGATCTCACTCGACCGTGGTTTGGTAGAATTAGGCGCGACGGTGTTCCTCCGAATTCGGGATCCCGTATCAGCTGTTTGTTCTATACAGGTCAGTTATCATGCTATGCTTCAATCTTGAGATATCTTCTCCATGTTTGTGCTTTACCAAGCGTTATACAATTTTTGGGTGGCTGGGTAAGCGCCAGATAACTTATGAATAGTCGTTTCTCCGGATTTTCAATGTTGCTACCACTACCCCTTTATAATTGTTCGCTGATATAAAGAATTCGACGTCAAATCCTTGAAGAAATCCAGCAGCTTTGAGCAGTCCTTCGTATAGGACATGAATTTTGTAAGGTTAAACTGATTCACTGAGAACAATGACGGATGTTTTTGAATGTGTTCAACAGGGTGGGGCAACTTTGAAGTCTGGTACAATTTGTGAATCAGCGCGATCCCGCTTGTTTGCTAAGGTGAGCGAACGTAGGCACGTAGGGCTGCTTACCGTCCAAAAGTTCTCTAAAAGCCCTCTTTTGCTATGCGAACTTCTGGCCGAATCCCACATACCATCTACAAAAGGACCGCAGTGTGAGAGAGCGTCTATAACTCTCGAAAGGCACAGACCTGCGAAATTCGAAGAATCCCAAGAGATTTTGCTCAACCGTGATGCTATTTCCCAACCAAACACCCTTCCTACTATACACAAATCCAAATGCAGGCGTTCCTCAGCTGGACATTATCCCAGAATGGTGATAAAAGCAATGATGTGAAGCCAAAAAGACGCGCGTTATAAAGAAAAGCAAAAGGTGAAGAGGCACCTGTAGAAGGATATTATAGTACTATCACCCCGCAAAAACTTTCAGGATCGCAATGCTTCTACAAGGACCTTGGCCAACACTATGCTCTATCGCTATATCAGCAAAAGACGAATTTGTGAGGTCACCAACGGGCACGATAGGAGAATCCTGGCCGCTACTTTCAAGGTGATGACAAACATAGTTTTTATTGACTATTCGACGTAATTTGGGTGTTTAGGATGAACTTGGCAGTTTCACGGCTACATATGGAGTAGAGATTACTGACTTCGAGCTCTCCGATGTCAAAGTTATTAAGGTCTGTCATTTACTTACTGAAGTTGAAACAAAGCGCGATCTTAGGATAGGGGCGTGAGTTTCGGGCCGGGTAAAAAAAATGGCTTACGGCAGATTGGATGTCTAACCCTTTACCGCTAAGCCTTAGTCCTTTTTTCACAAAAACGACATCGTTCTACGCCGGTTTCAAATGCATTCACCAACCAATAGCCCCACATGTTGGTATAGCGCTTTTGAAAATGCCGCATAGTGCGAAATTTTGGCTAATCACTGCACACTTAGTGATAATTACATAGACAGCATTGGTAATAGTAAACAGGTGTTGTAGAGCTGTTTTTTTAAAGGATTTTTGAATACCTTGGGCTTATTACCATAGGTGACCTGGCGTTCGCACGTAAGTGTGTGAATGTTGCCGCCTAGAATTCACCTAGAACGGGTTAAAGGAACATGCACTTTCAAATTAAAAGCTACCTGAGTGTCTTGCTAGTTTTGAACTCTGTTTTTCCTGCTGTACATGCGATTTTGACCTGTTTTTGATAGTCAGACCTGAGCCGTTGTGAGGCTTCCCCTATTGCCACTGCGCAATAACTTGATGCCTAATGAACACGCTTTTCTAGTTTATATTTTTAAGCAACCGGCAGCGCTTAAATTAGCGCTTTTGCAAACCAGCGCCGCGGCTACTTACCACAGTCAGAAAAAAACTGTACAAACTTTAAGGGCATGCCCCAGGATCACACTGGTGTGGCTCTTGCACACGAATGCGAATTCGGTGCCGAAATGGGCCGGCAGTAAAGAAAAAAGGGAAAGAATCCGTCGAAAACGCTTAGGTTAAGGGCTCACTCACCTTCCTAATCGGCTGTGCTAAGGGAATGAGAGACTAAGCGCGGAGAGGAGAGTATGAGGCGAGAGAGCGCAACAGATGAGAGGGCGCCAGACAACAGCCAAAAAATTGCAGCTGCTGCAGCTTACTTTGCAAGGCCCTAGCGCTCTTGTGGAGTGATTTCCATGCACGGGAATGGCACACCTGTGATTGTCCTCTAAGGACCGAGGGAATCCATCACACGACTTCTGCCTGATTGTGCGTTTAGATAAGGTAACAGGGACGGAGTGTTCTGTTTTGCGTAGGGAGGAGGGGGGTTGAGGTCGCGGCGCGGTGCCCCTAGCAAACCCTTAAAAAATGTTGCACATTCTCTAAAAACGTATCTACTTCTAGGAAGGCGAGAACATGGGCTTGGCTGCTTTGAGTGCGGTCGTGAAATCAGATGCAGGAGCAAAATTGTGGGAGGTACGCTTGACTCGAAATGCTGGATTACAATGTTTATCGATCAAAGTGAATTATCGAGTTTCAGGTGATTGCTCCTCATGTGGAAGAATTCGCCCGTGAGGTAAAAGAACAGGCAGCAGCCACGCAATTTGGGGAGCCGATGGATCCAGGAGGACCATCGACTAAGCTGAAGACTTCCTACTCGAACGCCACCACCGACACTTTGATAGATATCGAAGTCATCATCAAACGGCAGTGAAGAGAATCTGTCGATCGACGAAGAGCGCCTGATCATGCTCATCAATATGGCGATAGACGAATCGTTGGTGAAAGCCGTTGGATGTGTGTTCCAGGTCAAATGCCCAGATATGCCACCGATAGTGATTGATCTAAAACATCCGCCTGGATCGTGCACCCGAGGATCTGCTGTTCCAAATCCCGATGTGATTTTCGAGATGAGCCGTGCCGTTTTCGTGAAAATAGTCACGCAAGAGCTGTCACCGGTTGCGGCCTACATGCAGGGCTCGTTGAAGGTCCACGGTCCGCTCCAAGACGCCATGTCGTTGAAGTATTTAGCCGATAGGGTGAAACATCTACTGTAGTTGTCACAGTGTGTTTAATTTAGTACGGGTCTTAATATTGCTTCAAGTGATTTTTTGCCAAAGATCTTCCGTTTATGGTCGATTTTTGTTGTTTACGTGCGAATTTACGTTTTCAGAAGTAAAGTGTTTCGATCATAAATATGTGTTTTATTAAAGGAGACTTAAATGGTGTACATTTCTGCAATAAAACCAAATGATGTGTCCTCACAAGGATGAAGTGTGTAAAATACAATGATTAACCGAGAAGAATGCGCCATGTACACGACTTTTGTCCGGAGTTGCGCAGGAGTTGGAGTGCGATCTCCATCAATACATTGAGCTTTGGAGGCCAGCAGCGTTTGGTTAGACAATGCAAGGCTGGCGGGGCATGGGCAATACGCCCGCTCCGGACAGGGTTTCAATTACGTAAACGCTGGAAGTTGTAGGGTAACTGGAAGGATAGAAGCTTGAAAAAACGTTTTTCTTTATTAAACAGTCACTAGTTATAAGAACTCGTCCTTGAAAGGAAGCGTTCATAGTTGGCGATCGCACATGCGACTAAACGATTGGACGTTAAGTCCACAAGAAGAAGGATATGTGTCGACTAAGCGGTCAGGAAGGCGATAAGGCGATCCCGAGCGATCGCTCAGTGGGGGGAGCAGACAAGTCGATACGTATCCTTTTCTTATCGACTCCTTTCGTGCACGCCTAGTCGCCTACTAGCTTGAACTCTTATTCTGCCTAATCGATACGCATAGCTTCTTTTTCGAGTCATCGTCCAATTTCTTAAATGCGTGTACGATCGCTAAGTCTGAACGCTGCCTAAGACTTCATTGGTAAGCTCCGGCTATTGCAACAGTTTCTTATTT